GATAAAATATCTGACACTGGGGCGGTAATATCAAGACATGTAGATACTTTTTATTACAACATTGTAAATTGTAAAAGATTTTATTCATCTTCTTGACATTTACTACCAAAAATTTCCATCAGGTTTTCTTTTCTACGGCTTATATTAAGCACATTTTTAACTTTTACTTCCTTTTTGATTCAACCTCCATCCGAAGAACATCAATTGATAAATTTTCCAAAGTTAAATTGTACCAAAATTAAATCTTTAAAAATTCAAATAATCTTAAAAGTTTAAATAAAAGAAATAAAGGATTATCAAGTTTCCTGCGTCAATTTAGCAGACAAATAAGGTAATTTCTTTTATTTGAGCCTGGATTATTAAAAATTTCTCAATAGAACTTTGCCCAATTTCTAGAAACAGGGACACGTGATTGAGCATCCTTGGTATATTTTCCAAGCCTCGATTAAATCATCTATTTTAGACAGATTAACTTAAGACCAAATCCAATTGATGACGATCACTCTTATTGTGGGTAATGTACACATATTTGTTGGACAATTGCTGGCATTCTTACCCATGTGACCTGATTATGGATGCTCAAAGATCAATCTGGGGAGAAAATGGCACTGGTCCAAAATTCTTAACATTCCTATCAGATCCAGAAAATCTGGGTAAAGTTTGTTTCATTTGATATTAGTTTTTCGGTTCATGTTCTAAAGTCCTTCTTTTTACATAGATTTCGAGAACCTGAACCTGTAATTTATAACCAATAAAATATACACCTCTACACATTCTACGACATCATCATTCAACACATTTTCGCAGCATCTTCATTCTACATATTTGCCAGCATCACGTGAAAAGTGAAAACAAGAAAAATTGTGAAAGCATAAAATCTACAAAAAGTTTTTAATCTAAAATGAAAAGCAAAAATTTTAAATCAATTGTGTTAAAATTAAAGTAACAATTTTCAAAATTAATGAATATGCAAGAGTAAAATAAGAAAAATATCACAGCCAAAAGTCAATTACATATATTGAAATGAAAACAAAAGCAAATTGTGTTAATATATTAATGAATCTGCAAGTGTAAAATAAGATAAATATCACAGTAAATTTAGATCACAGTCATGTTTCATGTAAAATTTTATCACAGTTCAAGTTTCCTAAAAATTAATAAATAATATCACCGTCTAAAGTCAGTTGCAATTAAAGCTAATTCAAAAGTAAATTGTGCTAAAGTTAAAAAATTATACTAAATTAGAAGGAGTAATATCACAGTTCATTAAAATACTTCTTAAGTCAAATTAAAACCAAAAGTCACTAAAAACTACCACAGTGCAAATACAAAGTGAATAAATGTAGAGTCAGAAACAAAATACAAAACAACGCGTAAATAATGAATTAACTGGCAAATAATATCACAAACAAGAACCATAAACTTTTAACTCCTTTAGCAACCTGCATCGCTACCCTGGAAGGCCTTCTGCAGTTCGATGTCAAGTTGGTAAGTTTGATCTTATGTATCTCAAACCTAATCATACGTTTATAGTTCTTGTTCATTGACCTTCAAGACTAATATTCTAATCAAACATAATATAACAACAACAACCAATGGAAACATATTGTTTAAGAGAGTAATGTTGGAACAAAACTGATATTATTTTAAAGTTTTTTTTCGTAAACATGTTGCTTTCAATTGAAATCAAGTTCTCTCACTGCCAAGTTCTATGCTTAGTAATTGATACATATGTATACATGTTGATATTTTGTTAAATGTTGACATAAAGGCTTAGCAACATTTACATTTAATTACAAGTGGTTTTTGTTGTTATCTTATGAGATTTTGTTTTGTTTGTTTCTCGATCAAGAAATACAAAAAAGATAAACGCAAATATGTTTTTACATTACTTTGAAAAGCACAGTGGTTTAGCTTCGATAGAAATTTGAGCAAAATGTTTCGTAAATATTAATTATAGTAAGAGCAAAAGTATTTTACTACTAATGGTAAACCGTATTTAGAATTTCATCAGAAGTATGTTCCTATTATTTAAGTTTATTTAAACATTTTTTTTTTTTTTGCTTGAATATTATTTTATTTTTTTCGATTAAATATTATTTCGACCAATTGAACGTAAGAATTTCATACAGAGCATGTTCAGAATTCGGTCGTAAATATTATTTAGTTTAAATTATAATTTTTGTTTTAAATATTTTTTTTCCCTTTCTCAAAATTGTAAACAATAATGTTTCATAATTTAAGTTTAAGTTTTTTTTTTTCAATAAATTGTTCATTTGTCAACATGAATTTCTAAACTAATCTCCAAGGTGTTTATTATTAAAAAGATGAATATATAAGTTAGGGTATATCTACGGTAGGGATTTCAAGAAAGAATTTATGTCGTCATTGAAATGATTGGTTGGTGAGGGTTATGAGACGAGAATCTCCTCAAGATCTAGGAGATAGTTAGTCCGATTGACTTATACCTAATAACGTAGTATATATTTACATATCTTTCATTTTGACTAGAGCGGGGCATGTTTTTTTCATCTTCTAGTCATCCTGGACCATATTAGTTTAGTTTAAATTTCTTTCTTTTCAAATCTTTAAATAAAAAGGGAGTCTAAAATAATGATTGTAAGAGACTTGGCTATACTAGGAAAGGACACGAACCCCCCTCCCGGCTGCTGTGCTAGCAAATCAAAGGCTCCCGCAGTCCTTATCCTAATATAACTTTCAGCAGCTACTTGCCTTGTTTTTTGAATAACCCAAAGAACTTGGATTGATGGCAAAACAACAGGAGAGTTTATTCTCGCTAAGATTATAAAATCTTAGAGTCCTAAAAATGAATTTATTACAATAAATGGCGCCCAACGTGGGGCCGAAAGAACTTCTGTGTTCTTTTAGGCTCTAAACTCTGTTATTTTGGTTTTTCTTTTTAGATTTCATTTCGAAAAGTTCAGTTTTAAATCGATTTGAAGATATGAGTCGTAGTTAAAAATAATTTATAGATCTTTCCTGGATTTTTCAGTTATCTGAGGTTTTAAAATTCGGATAAGCTGACCGGCAAGAAATCGTAGATACTTTTTTAAACTTCGATAATTATTTTCAAATAAATTTAATTACTTGAATGTTAGTTAGAGTAAGATTAGAAATTAATATTTTTTGTTGTTGACTTAGATATCGAAAGACTATATTCATAGTGGATTTCACTGATACGTTTGTAACAATTCATTGACCTTTTGTTTTATAGGATATACCAGTAAAGGTAAAGACAAAGTTAATGGTATATTTTCGGTTTGTCAAAACATAAAATTTTACTTTTGGTTTTATGATTAACTCCATAGCCTATTTTTGTTTTCCTGTATAAGTCAAATTTGGAAATCGTTAATTACCCTACTTATTAATTCATCTTTTGAGAATAAAAACACCAAAATTTTGTATATATTTTTTTTTTATCAATTACATAATACAATTACAAATTGAAAATTAGTTTTTCTGTTCTATTTTGCAATAAAAGGAAATTAAAATTTTTAAATTTTTTTTTTGTCAAAATTTTACTTTTAAACTTTTTTAATTTCTTTTGATTAATTATTTAAAATTATTGTCGTTGAATTAATCAACACATAATTAAATAACGTTTAAAATTTTCCTACAGAGATATTTTCAAGTGAAATTTATTTATTTTTTTTTTTTTCTTCAAACCATTATTTTCTTTTGTTTCTATTTTTGATTTAAACAAATTTGTGCCCCTTATTGGGAAATTTGTTGCTGTTGTTTTAAGAAAATTAAACAACAAAACCAAAGTTAAGTATTTGTATAAATAATTAACTTTGGAGGCCAAATGCAGATTGCACTTACTTGGGGTTTCAGGTGAGTAAATAAAACAAACGATATAAACGTTATAAAATTTATTTTAATGTTGTGGTTTTTTTTTGTAATATTTGAGCTTCTGAGTACTTCAAAAACTATAATGGCGCTTAGGTTGATTGACGGGATGTCATTCTTGACACCTGTCAATCTTTCTAAGCGTCATTCACAGTAATGTGACTGACCACAGGCGTAGCGAGCGGGGACACATTACAAGAGAGGCTCTATGTCGATGTCAAGATAGTCATCATCGCTGGCATCTTCCTGGGCCTCAACATGCCGGCCCCCTTGCACTGGTGCAACAAGAATGGCATCGCTTAACCGATCCATGGTGGCGACCATTTGACGAAGCAGCTGGTGAGTGGTAGCCTGTCCTGCAGCTTGTTGTTGTAGTTGTCGCTGTAACATATTAGGCCTTCTACGTGAGCGCCTTTGCCGATGGGTGAGCGTTTGAAGGGCTCCTGAATCGCTGCTGCCTGCACGAGGTTGTCGCTGAGCGTTATCGTGAACTAACCGACGTGCTGTATTTTGAAGTCTCCGTACTGGTTGGCGTGGAGCACCATTAGTTGCATTACGCGGAATTTGAAGACGCTCCTGAACTGACCGCCTGCGAGTAGGAGCCACCACGGCAGATTCTTCAGGTCGTTCCTTATGAAGAAGGGTGTGGTGTTTCTGTCCACACATACGACAAGCAGATGTTGACGTGCAGTCTTTAGCTTGGTGAGACATGGATAGACAGCAGGAACAATACTTATGGACTCTCACGCTGTACAGGCGTTGACGCACCGAGAATCCATTGAAAATTCTGCACGAACGCAAATGATGGCTTTTAAAGCAAATCAAGCAGATTTCTCGACGACGAATAGGCTCCATTTCTATCTGAAAATATTAATGAAAAAAAAAACAACAAAGTATGGAAAATTAGTTAAAAATGATACAGCAATATGTGATTACTGTAAAAAAAAAAATGATAATACAAATAATATAGGCTACTTATCCAAGATTGGCAACCAACAAAGCTTGACTATGGGCCGAGTAACCAACCCGTATTGGGTTCGTATGTCTGCAACTCGCACCCGTTTATCGAATCCGTGATAAACATTATCTATGCGACCCAATCGCCAATCGCTGGGAGGAAGTAGCTCGTCTTTTATGATCACGAAATCGCCTACAACCAACTCCTTTTTGGATAACGCCATTTGTAGCGTTTATGTAGCTCTTGCAGGTATTCTGTTTTCCATCTCTGAGAAAATCGATGATGAAGAGCCTTCAGTTTTTCCCATCGATTGAGGAGAGACATATTCAAATCCTCTATTGGCATTTCTGGTGGAACCATTATTGGTGAACCTCGTAGAAAGTGTCCGGGCGTTAAAACTGCTAAGTCCCCGGGATCCTCTGTCATTGGAGATAACGGACGAGAGTTGAGAACGCCTTCAATCCTAACTAAAAGAGTAGAGAATTCCTCAAAATTAAACTTTTGGTTCCCTACAACTTTCCTAAAGTGAAGCTTGAAGCTTTTTACTCCAGCTTCCCACAGGCCTCCCATGTGCGGTGCACTAGGGGGTATGAATTTCCACTCGAAGCCGTGGATAGCATATTTTTCAGATATGTCCTTTGAGGATTGCTTTAAAAACATTGCATATTCAGCAAGCAAGGTTTTACTTGCGCCTACGAAATTCGTACCATTGTCAGACATCAGACGTCTCGGCAAACCTCGCCTTCCGACAAACCTATCAAAGGTAGCAAGAAAGGCTTCGGATGAAAGGTTAGAACATGGCTCTAGGTGTATAGCCCGAGTAGCAAAGCAGACAAATATGCAGGCGTAGCCTTTCATATAAGGAGAGTTTCTCAGATGTCCAGCCTTTATCTGAAATGGACCGGCGAAGTCTACACCTGTAAATGTGAATGGTAAAGAAAACGTAGTTCTCTCTGCTGGTAAGGCAGCCATAATCTGAGATAATACTCTTTGCTTGTAACGAACACAAATTAAACATTTATTTATACATTTTTTAATTGCTTTCCTCAGAGCTGGGATGTAGAATTGGTATCGAACCATGCTGATCATTAATGAAACATCTGCATGCATCAAATTTTTATGAATAAATTCCAAAATCATTTCACATAAATTCGATTTGTATGGAATGATTATGGGAAACCTTTCGTCATAGCTCATCGATGAATTAACTAAGCGGCCGTTAACTCTGAGAAGACCGTTAGAATCTAAAAATGGATTCAAGGTTATTAATGAGCTTTTTTTCGAAATAGCTATGGATTTAGACAAATCTTCATATTCCTCAGCGTAATACGCCCTTTGTGTCAACCGAATTAAAACAGCCTTAGAATTGTTGAGCTCGTTCTGCGTTAAAGTTTCTGCACAATTGGCAACCTTTTTGGAGGCTAAATTGCAAAAACGATAAACATATGCTATAACGCGAAGTGCTCGGTGATACATTGTGAAACTGTTGATAATAGAAAATTCATCACTATTTTCCTTTATTATTCGCTTTACCTGATATCTTGTAGGTGGAGATTTATCATTATCTAGTAAATTATCTATATTCATACTATTCTTGGAAGACGAAGACGGAACTGAATCTGTTGTACAAGAAACTAGAATTCTCTTCTTTTGTTCTGGCGTGTCTTGTACTGGTTGATTAGAATCGGCCAATATTCTTGAGAACTAAGAAGCCACAGGGGTCCATGCCACCATAATGGGTTATTCACTAAATCCTGTGGCTTGCAACCTCTCGTTCCGAGATCGGCGGGATTTTCGGAAGTGGAAACGTGTCGCCATGTGGCATCACCAACATTTTCAATAATTTTAGAAATTCTATTAGCTACAAAAGTTTTCCACGTAGATGGATGTTTCTGAAGCCAGGCAAGAACAATTGTGGAGTCAGTCCACATATGAACGGATGTATTTGGGAACAAGTTATTAGATAACAAATGCCTTATCAATTTAGAAAGGAGTAAAGCGCCACACAATTCCAAACGTGGAAGACTAAGTTTTTGTAGCGGTGCTACTTTGCTCTTAGCCACTAGTAAATGTGCGCTTCTATTGTTCGGATGATCAGATCTAATGTATACTGCGGCACAGTATGCTCTCTCTGATGCATCACAGAAACCATGCAACTGGATGAAGTTTTCAGGTTGAAAATTCACCCAGCGTGGAATTTTTATTGTTTCGATATGTTGAAATTCTCAGTAAAAACCTTTCCATTTTAGAAATAACTCAAATTTAACACTTTCATCCCATTCTACACCATCTTGCCATAATTCCTGAAGAAGCATTTTTGCTTCAATAATTATAGGCGTTAGCCATCCTGCCGGGTCAAAAGTTTCGCCACGCAAGATAAGATTTGGCGTTTCGTTACAACATTTCCTATCGAAAAGGTTTCTATTTTATAACTGAATGTATCCGTCAAAGCGTTCCAACGAATTCCAAGAGTCTTTGTAGAACTTGAGTCATCTAATTTCAAGAAATCGTCATTCAAAAGATTTTCTCTTGGCATTCTTTCTAATAATTTTGGATGATTTGCTGTCATTTTCTTCAATGGAATCCAGCAGAATAAGTACGTTGCACAATTGCTTCTGGGATTCCACAGCTGTTTCTAACGTATGTCCGCCTGACAACACATCATCTACATAAGTCTCATTTCTCAATATTCTTGATGATAATGGACTATTAGTCTCTGTGTCATCTGCTAATTGTAGAAGCGTTCGAATAGCTAAGTAAGGTGCACAATTTATGCCAAATGTTACCGTGGCTAATTCATAATCTTCTATGTTTCCTGTCTTTTCATTACGGAACAGTATTCTTTGATATGGTCTGTCGGAATCATTTATCATTACTTGGCGATACATTTTCTCAATGTCGCCATTGAATACATATCTATACTTCCTCCAATTTAAGATTACAGTCATGAGATCTAACTGAAGAGTTGGGCCACTGTACAGAATATCATTCAACGAATATGAGCTTTGAGTTTTACGAGACCCATTGAAAACCACGCGGACCTTTGTTGAAGTACTCTCTGGTCGGAAAACTGCATGATGCGGCAAGTAATATGAAAAAAATTTACCATTTTTATTTATCTCGACCGAATTGCATTTCTTCATATGACCCAAATTTATATTCTTTCAAAATATTATTATAAATATCAAGGAGGTCCGATTTTTTGCTCAAATTTCTTTCCATGTGAATATACTGTCTCTCTGCTTGATAGCGAGATGATGACAAATATATTTCTTTCGGAAATTCTCGTTTGAATGGTAATTTGACCACATATCGTCCATCACCTTTTCGAAATGTGGATTTTACATAAAGATTCTCACAAAATATATCTTCGTCTGATAGTACAGAATTATTTGAAATTTCTTCTGTCTCCCAGAATTTTCTAAGCTGCACGCAAATTTCATTTGATTCTTGGACCTTACCATTTGCATCAACTGCAACAAGTGAAAGCGAGTTTATTTTGAAGGGACCATAGACAAACCACCCATAAACTGAATCTGAGCCACCATATTTCCTAAAATATGTTGACGCGTTCCCTCAAGTAAAATGTATGGCAATATATCACTTCCTAATAACATATCAATATGGAAGAAACATAAAATTTCGGATCCGCCAACTCCAAGTCACTAATCTCGGAAAGATTAGGATTGGAAATTGTGGTTGAAGGCATCAAACTCGTTAAGTTTGAGACGATTACAGCTTGAGTTTCAAGTACGAAATTATGTTTCTCCGCACAAAGTGTGACAGTACAAATTTTCTTCGATTTAGCAACTACTGTTCCGCCTAACCCGCATATTTCGAAATCTGCAGGTTGGGTTTTCAAGTTTAATCTATTCCGAATTCTTTCGGTCAGAAATGATCTTTTAGATGCCGAATCTATAAGGGCTCTTACCGTAAACTTATCACCAAAATGACTAATCTGTACTAACGCTGTTGGTAGTAGAATATCATCATGTTTACCGACAAATGAGATGGGACATTTGTCGGACCCATATTACTACAAGAAGGGCAATGCGTTTCTGAACGATTACTTTCCGTTGTCATATATCCACAGGATGTGTATATTCAGTATGAAACGAATTTATTGGTCTATTTACTTTTTGAGTCCTAGTAGCCTGCTCATTACCATTGTTATGATTGATATGTAATAAGCTGTGATGTTTGTTCTTACATTGAGTGCAGCGAAATATGCTTTTGCAATCCTGATTTAAGTGAGTAGGTGATAAACAGTTACTACATATTCTATTCTGCTCTACATAGTCAATTCGTTGTTTGACAGAAAATCAGAAAATTTCCTACATACTCTAAGATTATGTTTCGTTACATAATTGACATAAGTTCTGACTATTTGTGTCCGTTTTCTTTTTGGTATTTTTACTAGTATGCTTTTACTAGTTCCTGGCTTTGGATCACTTTTACGACTAGTTTCATTTACCAACATTTGGTCACGTGCCATTTCAATTCTTTCCACTACC